TCCTGAGTCACTGGAGCCATGGAAAGTTATTCGGAAGTGTAGACGGGGCCCATATGCAGTCAAAACTATGACTGGGTTGGACCTGTCAATGACCTCTCAAAGAGAACAGGAGTAGTGGAAAGACTTGTGGACAGCCAGAATGTCACTGTCAATAGAATCCTGTGTTTTCCAAACCTGAAGATCTGTGAAGCAGCAGCCCTAAAGCTGATTTCCCCTGAATGCATCAGGAAGAGCAGATGGACCGTCAGAGAGACGTCAACTTTTAAATGGAGTACGTACAAGTCTGCTAAGTTGATGGAGGCCATTACTGTATTGCTTACTTTAAGGAAAATAGATATTAAGTAATGCCAAAACAACAGAGAAGTAGCAGACAACGTACACTGAGCCTCAAGAGAAGTTGGATAAAGATGTTGCTTCATTTCATGTTGATTACACCGCTTTCATGAATGACATCCTTTCGAAGGGCTATGCAGAGAAAGTGCCAGTTGTGGATCTGGAATGCAGTGGTGGTAGGGTATGGTATATACCACACCATGGTGTATACCACCCAAAGAAGAAAAAGATCAGGGTCGTATTTGACTGTGCAGCTACATTCCAGGGAACATCGCTGAATGCGCAGCTCCTACAGGGACCAGATCTTACCAGCACACTGGTTGGACTCATGACAAGATTCAGAAAGGAACCTGTTGTACTCATGGCAGACATTGAAGCCATGTTTCATCAGGTTCGAGTACCAGCTGAGGATTCAGATCCGTTGTGGTTTCTCTAGTGGCCAAATGGAGATCATCATCAGAACTTAGAAGAGCACAGAATGGTTGCACATCTGTTTGGAGCTACATCGTCGCCAAGTTGTGCTAGTTTTGCCCTTAGAAAGTGTGCAGAGGACCATCGGGAGCAGTTCAGCCCCAAAGTAATCAACACTGTCCTGCACAATTTCTATGTTGATGATTGTCTAACATCCGTGGTCTCAGAGGAGGAGGCAGTGGCACTCTATCATGACCTTTGTGCTCAAGGGGGCTTTCATCTCACAAAGTGGATTAGCAACAGAAGTATCGTGCTTGCTGCTATACCTTCGATGGAGAGAGCGAAAGAAGTTAAGGATCTGGACTTGGATAATGACACACTCCCTGTGGAAAGAGCATTGGGCGTACAGTGGTGTGTTGAGTCAGATGTCTTGATGATCATGATCAAGGACAAACCCATAACCAGAAGAGGGATCCTTTCCATGGTCAGCTCAATATTTGACCCATTAGGAATATTGGCACCTGTGGTCCTATCAGCCAAGATGATTCTTCAAGACTTGTGCAGAAGATAACTTGGTTGGGATGATATTATACCAGCCTCAGCTGTACAAGAGTGGAAAAGTTGGCTGAAGGAGCTCTGCAATCTCGAAGAGTTTAAAGTTGACAGATGCCTAAAACCGGTGGATTTTGGGGAAGTGACCTCTGCTCAGGTACACCACTTCGCAGATGCAAGCAAAGACGGCTATGGAACAGTGACTTACCTGTTATTACATAACATCAAAGGACAAGTGCACTGTGTCTTCATTATGGGAAAAGCTAGAGTGGCCCCATTGAAACCAATAACCATCCCTCGAATGGAATTGACGGCTGCCGTGGTTGCAAGTCGTATGAACAAGATGTGTAGGAAGGAGCTGCAAATGCAACTTAAAGACTTCATCTTTTGGACTGATAGTACTTCCGTATTGAAGTACATCAGTAATGAGACCTTAAGGCAGGGGTCGGCAACCCCTGGCACGCGTGCCAATGCTGGCACGCGGCACCGTAACCAGTGGCACACTAGGAATAAGTGGAATAAGTGTGCAAAATATTTAAATTGTATTTTCGGATCCTGAACGAGACCGCCGCCAGAGCGCGTCTCCCCGTTACCTGCAGAAGGAAGCCATGCACGCAACGCAGCCCCGCTCTCTTTATCTCCAGGTGACTTTCTGCCGCTTTCCTCCGTGGTGCAGTGCTGATCGTTTCACCACGGAGGAAAGCACTTCACTAATTGCAGTACCCATAAGGAGCTGTACAAATGCCGCAGTTTTTGCGTGGCTGTGTATTTAGTTGAAAGCCCAGTGGCGATCTGCTCATCTCTCATCGAAATAATATGCTACAAAGGGGCGGACTGGCCATCTGTGTGTTGAACTTTCCTGTCGGCTCCCAGACCGTAGTCGAGGAGGGCAGAAGAAACAAGCTTCAGGTTCAATAACCCACTTTAGCTTAAATGACTGGAGAGAGGCGAGCTCTTCTTGGGAGGCCGTTGCATTTACTTAGCTGTTCTTCTGTTTCACAAAATACATCACAGACCTCTGTTTTTCTGCTTCCTCGTTTCACTTCCAGAAACATACACACGTTCCCTCACTGTCGCTCTACCATCCACACACACACATGCCTCTCTCTCTCTCTCTCTCTTAAAGGGACAGCGATCTCATCTCACTCTGCATGACCCTAATATCATAACATGTGTGCTCTGGAGAATCACAGAACGGACCATTGTCCTAATTATTATGCCGTTTAAACCAATTATTTAAATGTGTTTGTTAAATTCGGCATCATAAGTTGCGCTGACAGGTCCACACACTGTTTCCCCGCAGCGAGGCTCCCGCGCCCTCCTGCTGATAGTTGACGAGCGTCAAGCTCCTAAACTAGCCCCCCCCCCCAGTTGATAATTCTCGATCGTTGGCATGCTGATAACAATTTTTTTTTTAAATGGCACTTCATATCAAAAAGGTTGCCGACCCCTGGTCTACGCTATCTATGATGACATCAGGGCTTTTTCATCCGGACCAATGGCAGGAAAGGGGATCTAATCAAATTTGACTGCTGAAGACTTGGCAGGAGTGGACGTCAGTCTGTCCTCCATGTCTCTCTTCCTCTGCTTCTTGGCTGATAGGCAGATCCACAGGAAGATAAAGAAACCTTGACAAGAGGCAGAGAAATGGTAGAAGCATTCATGGAGTTACAAGAAGTTCATTCACTTCTGTTCAAAATGGTCAACACATTGCCTCAAGTGCCTCTGATTTCACAACCCCCTCTCTGTTATTACTAATGATCCCGTTCCTGCCTCATCTTTCTCTCTCTTTATCTCTCGCATCATACATCCCTTCAGATGCTGCATCCTTTCCTCCCTACATCCCATCAACCCCTTATCCATTTATCCCTCCCTACATCCCTTCATCTCTAATCCCTCCCTTCCTCCTACTCCTCTTCCTTCCCTCCCTACATCCCTTCATCTTTTCCTCCTCTGAGTACTTTTTGTCTTATTATAGGTAACATCGAAGGGCTTGTTTTTAGTTTGGGCAGAAACATGGGATCCTACATCCCGTCCACTCTCCATCCCTTCATCCCTTCATTTCACATCCTTCGCTCCCTCTCTTCAACATATTTCTCTCTCTACTACACCCCTCCTTACCTTACCATCCTTTCATACTCTCTCCCTCTGTTTCCTCTCTTCCATTCGTTGAATCTGGGGCATGCTTTTTGTCTCATACTGGGGACTCTCTGGTTGTTTGTATTAACACACACCTGAGATCCCTCCCTCCCTTCATGCCTTTGACCCTTTATCCCTCCCTGCCTCCATCCCTTCCTCGCTACATACCTTAATCCATCTATCTGTCTACACACCCCTGTCGACATCCCTTCCTCTCTCATCCATTCCTTTCTCCCACTCGTTGACCCTTACTTCTGTTCATCCATTCATCAATCTACCACCTCATGCCTTCTGACCAAGTACCCTTCGTCCTCTCTTCCTGTTTCCCGTTTTCTCTTTCTATTTCATCTGGTGCATCTTTTTTGTTTCATTCTGTCTGGGGGCTCATATTTAGTTCAGGCAGAAACACACCTGAGATCCTTCATCACTTCCTCCCTACTTCCTTTTATCCATTAACCGCTCACTGCAACCCTTCATGTCTCAACCCTCCCTCCATCTCTATGACCTTTCATCCCTTCCATTCATCACTTCACCACTTCACCCCTTCTTCCCTACATCCTTTCATCTTCTCTTGGTACTTTCCCTTACATTCATAAGTGCTTAACATCCAATACCTTCTATGAGTAAATCTTTCATTGACATATTGTTGTGGAACAGAAGTGGCAGCAGACCTTGAGTGGAGTTGAGGATGCAGAACAGGTAGAGGATGGGGAGGTTGACATATCCTGATCCCAGGAAGGCCAGGCCCCAGGTGGTCCCCATCAGGCAGGTGAGACCCATCACGGTGAGGCATCTCCTGCAGGTCTCTCTGACCCTCTGGGAATCCCTCACCGTCTTCCCCTTAGTCCCTTGTCCAAGCTTCGAACTGACCTGAGACACTTGTTTCATCTTGCAGATGTTCGAGGCCACTGTCAATAACATGCCAGAGTTGAAGATGAATATGAGAGTGAAATACACCAGGTTCAAGGAGTAGAAGTACGAGTCATCGGTGATCCAGCAGCTGTGGGAAAGACAGACTACATTCAGAATATAGTTTAACAGCAGATAATGCAGGAGACATAAAGTAAAGTGTACCATAACACACAGTGCACTAACTGAGGGTATGTCTGTATGTGTCTCTCCATCCAGATCATTTGAATTGTTGTGAAGCATTTGGTGTGAACATGGTTAACACCTTGTAACACAAATGCATCATGAACATACACATTATAAATATTACACATGTTATCATGCTCTGTGATTGTGATGGATCACAATTTCTTTTTATTAGCCTTTAATTTATATTGTTTAAAAAAGCTAGTTTTTACTAAAAGCAGATATGATGTACTTACATGGCGTTAGTTTTGTTAGTATCAGCCATAGTCATTTCTGTGAGTCCATAAAACTGTTTCAAATCTCTCATTCCCAAAGAGACTGCCACGATTATACCAGGGATCCCTGAAACACACACACAAACACACTCGCGGTAAATGGCGTTCGATGACAGAAAATAATAAGAGTTTTATTTTTTTACAATCCAACAATGTTCAGATGTCATAACATTACATTACATGTCACTTGTTAGACGCTTTTATCCAAAGCGATTTACATACTCAATACTGTGGGCAATCCCCACAGGAGCAATTTGGGGTGAAGTGTCTTGCCCAGGGAGGCAGGGACACAACGACATGCTGACTGCAGTGGGGTTTGAACCTGTTACCCTGATCCCAACACCAACGCACAACCCACTTTATTATTATCATAAATAAGGCAAGCAACACAGAGTCTATATTCTATTTGATTTTATCCTATGAAAGCTATCCTCTAGTAGCCGACTCTGGGTTCGGTGGGTTTCCTCAAGAAACGTTTATTTTATTAGTCTGGGGCTTCCTGTTCCTGTTCTGAGTATAATGTTAGTCACCTGACACTGATACCACATCAGCACGTAGTAAACACAGAAGTTTCTCCTGCAGCACTCACCCCATCCAGCGAGAGACAGTTTGATCATGTAGTGTTTGAAGTAGGTGTTGAAAACCTTTATTAGCAGGAGATAAAGGTGAAGTGCCTCAATGGCCATCCAGGTGAAACAGCAGAGCAGGGAGTAATGCATGAGAGCCGCCACAAACACACACACCCAGTCTAGCTCTATTTTGGCTCCCCACTCGGTCAGCAGGAAGGTTGTGTTGAGCAGAAAGAGGGCCCCGCTCAGAGAGACATGGATGGAGATGGAGTAATCCATTCTGTGGTTCCTTAGGAAGTGATAGGAGAAGAAGATGCAACAGTCATTTCTGTCAAACTGGTTATTAGACATTTGGCCATAAAGAAATGAAGTCCAAACTACTCCAAAAACAAATGTGCCACTTATAGATTAAGATGTCCGTCAGAGCTTTTACTATCTGCCTAGTGTGATCTAAGACATACTTTATTGCGTCCCAAAGCTGCATTCACATAACAAACTGAGCATCGTCTTGTCGCTGATGTTTCCGTTGTGTTTCTATGGCAATCCACACGAATTGGCGGAAGCGATATCCTTGATGTCGTACCCTGCTAGAAATGTTCACAGAGCGCTGCACTGATAGTAACAATTTCTACTTGATCATTACATTACATTACATGTTACTTGTTAGACACTTTTGTCCAAAGCGACTTATATACTCAATACTGTGGGCAATCCCAACAGGAGCAATTTGGGGTGAAGTGTCTTGCCCAGGGACACAACGACATGCTGACTGCAGTGGGGTTTGAACCTGTGACCCCCTGATCCCAACACCTACGGACAAGTCAGCATGTCGTTGTGTCCCTGGGCAAGACACTTCACCCCAAATTGCTCNCAAAGACCTGCACTGGCTTCCTGTCTCCCATCGCATTAACTACAACACTCTAGTCCTCACCTACAAAGCACTCCACCATCTGGCCCCCCCCTTATCTCACACACCTTCTCACTCCTTATCAACCCCCACGGTCCCTCAGATCCACAGCAGCCGGACTCCTATCCATTCCCACATCCACACTCTGCAGCTTTGGGGACAGAGCCTTCTCAGTGGCAGCTCCTAGGCTCTGGAATTCCCTCCCCCAAGATCTTTCAGTCCCACCTCAAAACACATCTTTTCAACTCTGTCTACCCATAAGCCCCCCCCCGCCTCTCAATCAACTTCCTCTTGACTGCCTTTTTTTTGTTTATTTTATTTTACTATATTTATTTGTTTGCCGGTTGGTGCCGAACCTCCTCTTCTGAAAAGGAATCCAGTTCTGTAGGGTCGGGTGAAGGAATATTTCTCAACCATTCCTCATCTGCAGAGAAATCTTGTGTGTCAAAGCGAGTGTAGAACGTTTTCAGTTCTGCCGCAAAGGATTCTGTGTCGTTTATTGCACTGGGTTTGCATCCAGTTAGAGTTTTTAATTTCTCGAATGCCTGCTTGTTGCTCATGCTGCCAAATTCCTGCTCTATTTTGTGAACTCTAATTTAGCTATGAACACCACTTTTTTTTTTTGGATTGGCAAATACAAACTCAACACTGTTCCAGTTCTTCAATGAGGCAATAGACAAAGTGAAATCATAAAGCACAAGAGTCCATGGATTTTAATTTTTGTGAGGACATGCAAAAAACAAATAAAGATTATGAATGAAAATCGGAACACCAAATGAGATGACTTCATTTCCACACAGCTGGCGACACAGTGTCAGTAATGTAACATATGCTGTTTCAATCAAACAGCTAATCAAAGCGTGTGCTGTTAATGTGATTGCACCTATTAAGAGAAGATAGCCGTTTATTAAGGCCTTTGGGGGACATAAAAGCGAGATGCAGCAGAAGGGGAGGAGACAGGATAAAAACGGATTTTCAAAAGTGCTACGTGTGGAGTTTAAAAGCCAATTAATCACTATCACAATACTTATGGTGGTATGATTAAAGAGACACTTAAAACCATTTAAGACACATTCACAGTGAAGCTCATCTAGATCCCTTGCATATTTTCATTTTGATTACTGGTCTGGGGGAAGCTCGCGAGTGTGTGTGTATGTACGTGTGTGTGTGTTTGTGTATTTTTGCATTTGTGTGTATTGTGTTTGTTTCCCGGGGAAAACACTCAAGATAAACACCGGCTGTTGTTATGCCTGCAGTGACGTTAAGTTACTCCGTTCTCTGCTACGTCGTTACAAGCTTCAAAGTTGTATTTATCATCTGAATTTGCCGAAAGAAGTTTAATATTCTGAAAGCCAAGACTTTGTTTATTTTATATCAGATGAAAACAAACTGTAACGGACCCTGCCGTGTTATCTATGGTTACTATGGTTACTATGGCCTTGCATTCATAATTTCAGTGTCGTGAGCCGTTGCGACTTCAGACTGATTTCGATAGAGCGGGTCACATATTTCTTATTATGGCCATTTTTTACCATTAGGGTTGGGTGATTAGGCGAATATATTGACCATGTTCTTTGTGCTGACTACATTGCTGATTGTAGTTTTTGTTCGATTTGTAGATGTTTTATTGGTCTGCCTCCCAAAAATGTGTGTGAGCAACTACTCAACCTTCAGAGTGCGAGACACTTCTTAGCCATCAGAGAGTCAGCAAGGAAATAGTTTGGTGAAAGGGAGAAACTCAGGAAGTGCTTTTTTGGAAAGAAATAAGTGAGAGTTTAGATTTTAGACCAAAAAAAGTGGAAAGTGGAACGGGGCAATATTGCTGCTTGGACACCCAAGCTGCGCAAAAAATTGACTATTGTTGGAAAGATTGAATTGCTGGTTGGAAAACATTTGCTCTAGTTTCCATGGACAGGCCAGCATTGTGCACATAATTAAATAATTGTAAAAATATACAAAATTGGGATCAAACTTCAGAAAAGCAATGACAGTTTTTACTAAACAACATAAGAGGAAGAAGCGAGAGATTATGGGATATTTTTCAATATGTTGACATGGACATGCCAAAAAGTGCACATACCCAAGAGTTTATCTTTAGTTGCTGCCAAAGATCCTTAAGCCTTTATTAATATAAACCTTTACAAACGTAACCTGGAAAATCATCCATCTCATTAATATAACCCTTCTTATTAAGGGGCTAGTTTTAAAGGTTGAGGTCAGGCATGTGTGTATCTGCACATTCCAGCCTATCCTCCTCCAAAAAACAACCAAATAGGTTGGTTGTTCAGCAGCTTATTACGACCTTTAGTCACGTTTTAAAGTTTAGCACCTCTAGTGGTCGTGTAAAGGCCCTGACACACTAGGCCGAAATTGGCCGTTTTCGTAAGTCGGACGACAAAGCGTGCCCTGTCGCCCAAAATCAATTTGGTGTGTCCTGCACCGTCGGCCGTGACATGCCTTATTTGGCCTTTCATGGCCAACGCACGGCCGATTCAACATGTCGAATCGGCCATGCGTCGGCCACGGGCAGTCGGACAAAGAAATCACTCTGATTGGCTGTTCAGCTAGCAAATCAGTGCATGAGAAGCAAAACGGTTGCTTGAGAATGTCTTCAACAAGCAACACTCCAATGGCTGATAGCTCCAGTTCCGCACAAAACATGTTTTCGATGGACGAATATTTCCGGTCTCGAAGTTTTCATAATAAAACCGGAAGTATTCCCCTCACTGTCAAATGATTTTACAGTGATATCTGCCGTATACATCCACTAAACAACATCAGTTTATCCTTGTTAATTACACAACATTGATTGGTTTAAATTGTGTACAATGCTTTTATGTTTTTAACCTTCGATTCGAAGAAACAAATAGTTTTTTGGGAGTTCAGGAAACCACGGCAGACTATCCAAAACTGGATTCGAACTGGTCCAGCCCCACCCCCCAGAACTACACATGCTGGCTAATTGTGTTTCGCAACATCTATTCTATGGCACGTCTCTACTGAGAATTGTAGTTTTAAAAGACGTTTTCGTATTTCCCATGATTAGAAGTTGCCAGTATTAAACTCTGTACACACCTGGGGCCGTATTCACAAAGGATCTTAGGGCTAAAAGTAGCTCCCAACTGGCGAATTTAGGAGAAACTCCTAAACATAATGGGCGCGTCAGTCTTAAATTTAGGACTCCTAATTTTATTCACTAAGAGCAATTCACAAAGTATTTTAGGCCTAAAAGTAGCACCTAAGTTTAGGAGAGCTTAAAAGTCC